TTATATATGTATTAAGATTACATTCTTTAATTTGAAAATTTATTTAAAAAGTTTACATAATACCACTTTCCACTTGAGCCTAAGTATATAATTCTTAAACTTGATACTATATATTCGTGTGAAATAATGATTTAGATTTTAGGACCTGTGAGACCTTTTCACTAGTGCTTTTTACTCAAAGACTTTTTCTTTTCATGATAAAAAAATAACCTCAAATTAGAGTATATCCCCTTTAATTTGAAGTCGGTCTAAAGCTAGCCATATACAAGTCATCTAAATACGTATTAAAGACGGCAACTAAGTTTGAAGATTGATTTCTTTAAAGAGTCCGAAGAATAATTATTGCGATTGGAACTAGCTTACATTTGATTACATATGTCACAAGCTAAATCGATACCTTAAATGGCAAACCAGTTAACTCCATACGAGCAAATTTTTCAGGAGACACTTAAAACTTATAATATTTTTTTACACTACTCATTAAAAAATCTAAAATACCATTGATAGTTACTATCGTAAGCTGTTATTTTTTATACTGTAAGATCCTACTAAAACAATCCTATTCAATTACTGTTGCATACAATCTGAACCAAAAAGTATTTTTTGACGAAATGTGGTGTTGGCTGGTTTGCCAATTAAGGTATCGATGTATTGCTTGCTATATAAAGAGAATTTATGTTTCGGTTGAGCAAAAAATAAAATGAAAAAATATGCCTAAACGAACCTACAAGCTACTTGAAACTAAATCAAGGACCATATCACAATATAAAATAATTCGCTTAAATCAGATACCACAATACACATGCCAATTAACCGATATGAAGCACAATCACAAACCACACAGACCGCAATCACCGCGAGTAATTACGATAAGATTGTGTTAATCTCGTGTATTTCTAGAGAATAGTCTTTATTTTTCATTTTTATGTACTAACTTCTTCTTTCTCTTATGTATCTACCTATGTATATATTTCTTAAAGTAATTTTATATATAGTACCTGGGCCACCGAGTTTCGCTCGGAGTTTTTGGTCGAAAGTACAATTTTCTTTAAAAAAAAAAACTTGAATATATATATATTCAAGACATAACTCAGAACTAAACTACCTTATAATTATATAGTGGCTAGCTATATTCTACTCCTGGTCATGTCAAAAGAGTTTTCAGATTTCTTTATTTCTTTATTCAGCCCGTAGGAGCACAGTGTAATGCGTTATACATACATCCACCATGTCTTAAAGCAGCGTTTCCCAAATGTTTTTTGTCGAACCTCCCCGGATTATAAAAAATATTTTCATGGCTCTTTTATTTTTTTATTATATTAAAACACACATTTTTTATACAACTTTTTTACACACATTTTTTTTAATATAAAAGACACATTATTTAAACGATTTTTATTTATTTCAATTTTAAGTTTTACGCAATAATCTCTCACTACGCCTGTGGGGAGGGGTGCTCCCCTGGTTGGGAACTGCTGCCTTAGAGAATCCGCTACCGCATAGAGTATATTGCTACATATATAAACGCAACCGTTTCATCTTCAATATAGTATATATATATTTTCCAAAATGATTACCATTTGCCTTACGGTGAAGGAAAACATCGTAAGGAAACCTAAATGTCTGAGAAAACTTAGTGAGCAAATTTCGAAAGACATGTGTAGTCCGCTAACCCGCACTTAGCCTGATCCCCCTCGTATTGAAGGGAGGCTCGTGCCCAGCAGTGGGGCGTTAAAAAAGGCTGAATACATACATACATACACAGGATATACATTTTTTTTAGAATATAATACTGTAACAAATTAGCCTTCGTGATCGCGATCGGTAAAAAAGACATTATTAAACCGTCATCAAATCCAGCCAGCGGTTTCCAAAAACCTATATAACTATCGTATGACCCAAATAATTACAGAGGGGATTGAATTCCGTACCTTCAGGATATATTTGGTTTTATGTAGGAATGTTTATTTTCTGGCTCATTAACATTGTCAAGTTTCATTTCACTCGGTTTAGTACGTAAAAGTTACACTTTGAGCTCTCGTATTGTGTGATTCCATATAAAGCGGGGTTTACGATTGTCTTGTGGCTACCGTCTAAATGAAAATATATATGGTGCAAAGACAAAAGCTGGTTCTCCGACAAATATATAGCTCTATAATTATACACCTTCTGAGGTTATTATTCCGCTATGTTAGTTTTGTTACGTTGGTCTAGTAGCTAGCTGCTGGTGCTCGGCTTACAGATCTTGGCAGATCTTAAGAGTCTGGATTCGAGTCTCCGGTCAGGCAAAAGATAGTTACTGAGTTTACTTTGATTAGAATAAGTGTCGTGCTATTCTTACTTCTCAAAAAATATAAAAATATTGCAACCCATTGTTTGGAAGTTGATGATGTCACTACCCTGCGCGTCGAAGCCCTCTAGTCTGCGTTTGTTTTCTCATAAAACTTCGTCATATTGGACTTATGTTGAAAGTGAAAAGATACGGATAGACTGCCGTGACATTTTTTATGATTTTAGCGTATTTTTCTTAATGTTATGTAAATCTTTTCTAGGTTGTCAAAGTTTAACTTATGTAAACGTCTTAAAGAGAGTATCTTATGACAAACTGAATATTTCATTCTCTACAAATTATTTTAATATTAAAAATTGAATCAAAATTCATAAATTCCTATTAAAGTAAAAGAACACACAGGCTTTATATTAAAGTTTAAAAGATTGTTTTATCAGTTTGTTCCATACTTTTTCATAAATGCCAGTAGCAGATGATTATATAATGCTTTAAAACTTAAAAAGAAACTTTGTCTTAAAACTTACTAAATATGAACAAAAAAGTACTGAAGTTTCAACTAAACTCCTTTTAACATGCTTATTTATTCAAATATCTTAAACAAGAACGTTGTATGGTAAAATACGGTATGGTTTAAATAAAAATCAAGGAACAATATTAGTGGATCGTAATTCGATGGATTTTTTAGTTATTCAGTAAGCAACTAATTATGTAAGTACGAGTATGTACTATCGGAATAGTCTGACTGATGATGGAGCCAGAATATGAATTAGAAAAAAAAGGCCAGAGATGAGACGTTAAGAAGCTTTCAAGACACAAGATATTTTTACTTCAAAACATAACAAAATTATGTTATTTCATTATTAAATAACCAAACAAAAATAACCAAAACGTAAAATAATAAATAAATATGTTGGGATATTAACACACAGCACCATCTAGTTCTATGGTAAACTACGAGGCTTGTGTTATGGATACCAGATAGTTGATACACTACACATATGTATATAACTTTAAATACATAAATATTATACATATAAACGCCCATGACTGGAGTACAAACATTCGTGCTCATCACACAAATGAATGCCCCCAGCGGGACTCGAACCCGCGACCGCTGGCACATTACTGTGGCACATTATTTGTAGGGTCACTACAAACTGCCATAAATAAAGTATCAATAAAATCAAAGCGCTTAATTTTTTTTTTATGCGCATAAGTTTGCCTTACGACCCGGTCCCTAATTAAAGCGGGAGTTAAGGTGGGTCTCAATGAAATTAATATAAGGTGAGCAAAGTTGAAGGCACAAGTTAGTAAGTGAATGTAGAATGATTATTTATTCATCGTGCCGTAAACGAAACCCATCGTCACAACGTGCTACGCTATTACCGAAGTAATCTGTGTTATTAGGAACACTTCGTTATTTGAAACAACATCGTTGAAATGGACAATCGACAATTGATATTTAAAATATTTATAAGAAACTAGCGGACCCGACAGACGTTGTCCTGTCTACACGTCTTTAATTTGAAAATTTCAAACTTTTTTTAATAAGCTAAAACATTCTGGATCATTTAGATGAAAATTATTATTCAAATTTTGAATCTAAACCATTCCCAGATCCCCTTGAACACACACAAAAAATTTCATCAAAATCGGTCCAGTCGTTTGAGAGAAGTTCAGTGACATACACACTCACAGAAGAATTATATATATAAAGATTTTAATTACTAAGTATATATTAAATGTCTGTTAGGTCATTCATGCTTACTAATATTTATAACTCTGTCTGTTACGCTTCACTGCTGAACCGATTTTGATAAAATTTTGCAAGAACATACATTGCATCCTGGGAACGAACATAGGCTACCTTTCATCTCCACTCCACTTACTGTGTGAACGAAGCCGTAGGCAAAAAGTAGTAGGTAATAATAATATTATTGTCTTGACTTCAGTCAAGAATTACTGTCACAGGAAATGTTTTACGCTCGTAGGTAATATTTTAGTTGACAAAGTTGCGCTCCCTATTACCTCATATATCCTATATTGGGAACGGAAATCAAATATAACCAGAGAATTTAGGTATAGGGGTTGGCTATTTTATGGTTTCATTATGTAAAATATCTAAACGCATATTATACAAAAGCGATACAAATAACGTAACAATAACTCATTGAAAATTTATCTATACTAATATTATAAAGAGGAAATTTTAATTATTATGAAGAGGATTTTTTGTTTGTTTGTTTGTACCAAATAAGCTCCGAAACTACTTTACTGATTTAGATGAAATTTTGTAAGAAGATAGTTTGAGACCGGAAAGGACATATGATAGTTTTTATCCCGGAAGTCATTCCTTAAGGGTGTAAAAATGGGGATGATAATTTTTATGGGAATCAATCGCTAGTTATATATATTTCAGTACATTCTGAAGTCAATAATCTAATATTCAGGTCAACTTTCACAATATCTCGAACTAACATAATATTTCTGAGAGAACACAACTTTAATTTGTCGTAATATTGTAAACTCGGATAGTAATACAGCAGTTGCATCGAATAATATAAAGGAAATGCATATTGTTATGATAACCAATTATATCGCTTTTCTTGTTGCAGGTATAAAATGAATAAGAAACGTCAAAAGAAGAGGCGAACAAAGCGGAGTGAAGTGAAATGAAGGCAGAAGAATATGTGACCGTATAATATTAACTATGAATATGGCATCACGATTGTGGCTTGCGGGCAGTTCGAGTAGGGATTTGTTTGTGGTGGTTTTGTTCTTGTGCCAAACAATAGTTTGTGATGGACAGTGTCCAAAGTTTGCTGAAAGGCCATTGGAGACGAGAGTTCAAGATGCTTCCATAGTTTTTAGAGCAGTGGTTGTACAGACACACTATCAGGTTAGTATATTATATATATATATATATATATATATATATATATATATATATATATATATATATATATTCTAATTGTTGCTATTATAATATTATTTTTTTAATAAAATAAAAAATGTATGATTGCTCTTTAAAAATACAAATGCTACGTTTATTTTATATACGCGTGTTTTGATAAAGAATACAAAAAGTATTGGTTTATTATTTTAATTTTTATTTCAGCTTCTCTTTTGATTATGGGTTATGTATATAAAAAAAGAAATTAACTTTTGATTTAATTTTCTATGCATGGCTTAAAAAAATATTATGGTATAATCGCCATCGCTAAACTGAAAACTGTAGAATGTATTATCCATTATATTCATTTGAATATTAACAATATATTCCTTTTTTATAGTTCCTTATTAGCCATGTCGATCCTTAATATTTACACCGTCCGAGAATCAAAGCGGCTATATTTACGTACGTACAGAATTCATTCAGTCGTACTCATGCAATATATTATGTATATATATGCCTGGGCATCGGTAGAAGGGTGCACCTGCAATCTCCCACCGTGAAGGAAAAATAAAAAAATACATAAAAAGTTAAGAAAATAAAACTATATTATTAAAATTACTGTTCAAAAGATGTCTACGAAATATAGAAAAAAGTATTCTAATATAAGTCAAATATATTTAAAAAAAAAAATGTATTTATTAATAAAAATAAACTAGTTGATTATTAAAAAATTATAATTGAATATTTTAATGTATAGAAGCATAATATGCAAAATAATTCTGCCGGCGCCCATGCATACATAATATAAAAAATAAAAATTGATTATAAAACTAGCAGAACCCGCGGCGTCGCTCGCGCTAAAACAAACTTTCTTCGCCTATTTTATCCCCTTATTGGATGAATTTTGAAAATGCTAATCACGGTATTTATTTAATTGTATTGAAGAGCATTAATATCTAGTTTCAATTAATTATTCTGATCATAAATGTTTTTTCGGGTTGTATTATAACGTGTTTTCCCGTGAGAATTAGATAATCTCCCGCGGTAAAAAGATGCCTATGTTACTCTCCAGCCCTCCAAGTTTTTCCATACAAAAATTTACGCCAATCCGTCGCTCTTTTTTGACGTGAAAGGGCAAACAAACAAACAAAAAAACACACTTTCACATTTATAGTATTAGTATGGATACAAAATATAAACTAATATTTCGTCCAATGTCTATCTAAATTTACAATGTCAACAGCATGTCACACATCTCTCATATGATTCACTTGTCACCTATTAACTACTATTAAACTGATTATTTGTACCCGATTCGATTTTAACATAATAATAATGAAAATCAAAACAAAATTTATTGGTGATGAATAAATGCAAATGTAATCAGTACCGTTAAATTCCGCATGTAATTATTTTGAACGACGCTTAACAGGCTGGCTATCTATCCATGTGATAGGAACAGTGTTTATGTAATACTAGCAACACACTCTCGCTTCGCTCGGGTTTGTCCCTAGGTTGATTACCCATACAAACTTTCATCCCCATTTTCAACCCTTGAAGGGATGATTTCGGGGATAAAAAGTATCCTTTGTCCTTCCTAGGGTCTCAAACTATCTTCTTACCGAATTTCCTCTAAATCGGTTCAGTAGATCCATAGATTACCTCTCTACAACGTCCCAAACTTACAAACTCACTATTCACAAACTTTACCTCTTTATAATATTAGTATAGACTAGTGAGTGAGTTTTCTGGTGGGTGTCTTCAACTATGGAGGTGCCTTCTACGTGTATGTACAAATACACATTATTCCTCCGAAATTTAGTACATGTTTACATTAAGAACTGGGATAAAACAAAACGCCAAAAGGTGGCGCTGTTCGTTAGAAAAAAATATGAATACATACATCTTTAAATATATGAAAAGTAATGTATGTATGTATGTTCCATATGGACTCCAAAACGGCTGGAGCGATTTTGATGAAATTTTCAGGCAATCTTCTGATTAACCCAGCGTATGATCCTGTGAAGTTTGGTAGTGATCGGAAGTTTGAACGTGGGCGAAGCCACGGATACTGCTAGTAATACGAGTATATGTATAAAACACGTTAATTTTTTATATGACACAAAATGCAAGTAGGGATAAACTAAGTCAGTAATAATATACATTCATATAAAAAGTTTAAATTAATATGATGTTTACGCAAATATTGAAATGGATGGTGATTTCCCATCGGCAAAATAAACAGCAGTTTAAACAACAATACCCACTTTTCTAACTTCAAAAATTACGAACTTCGAAAGAAAACATACCCTTAATTAACGCATTTAGGGGTTGAATTTAAAAAATCCTCCCTTTGGGCTCACTTTCCTTATATTAGAATCTCTTTTTGAATATATTATGCTTTTCCAACCAGCACTTTAGGCGGTTCAATAGTTACCAGCCAGTCAGTCAGTCTTACAATGCAACGCTGTGTATGTCTTGATTTCCTCCTAAGACTTTTTCAATCTGCTTCCTTCCACAGTGGATCTACTTCTGTAGATCGATGTGATTTAAGCATTGAGATAAGAGATATCTAGAACGTATCCGATTATACTGATAGCATGACTACCATAAGTTATTCTTATAATAATTAGATTTAAACGAATGTTTGCATTACTAAACACTACTTTTTGGATTTTTTCGCGTTTTTATTATAATTTAATATTCTCGACCTTTTTCAGCATTGTAGTTTCATTTAAATTATTTAAAAAAAATCTACGTGAGGGTGAAAAGAGAACTTTGAACTTAAAAAATGGTACTTACACACCCACCCTCAAAGGTTGTTAAACTAAAAAGCACTTTATTTAATTTAATATGATTATAAATTGTACCAACGATAAAGTTGAAATAATACTATTCAGGCATGTTCTTTAAAGTTTTATGACGCTTATATCCACTGTCATTATGAAAAAGATAACTTGGTAGAAATAAAAAGTTTGAGATCAGAAATATTTGCGATGTCTCGTGCTTTATGTGGGAGGTCATTGCACGTCAATTTCAATTGTATCATAGAACAGTGAAGTGAGATTAGAAGTAGCATAACAAGTTCTATATATTTTTTCGTTTACTTTGTAAGTCAGAGGATGTAATTTTTGATACTACTAATACGACTCATAAAAAATACACTGACAGGAAGTTATATTATCGCTAATTGGGCTAATTTTTATTTTGATAAAAATGTGTTTATTGTCAGATATCGTATTATAAGTACACTAGCTGTACCCGCGGCTTCGCCCGCGATCAAACTACTAAAAAAACAAACCCTTTGTCACACCGACAGCAGCGCCACCTACCGTGTACAATTGTGAATCTAAACCATTCCCAGATCCCCTTGAATACACACAAAAAATTTCATCAAAATCGGTCCAGTCGTTTGAGAGAAGTTCAGTGACATACACACTCACAGAAGAATTATATATATAAAGAAGATAAATAAATTTTATTTGCAGTTGGAAAAAAACTGATTTTTGCGTTGTTTTATCGGCGTGAGCTGCCTAAATGGTTTTAAATAAAGCTAAACAAGTAGAATGTATGGCAAACAGATATCTAGGGAAGTACCCATACGAAGTGTGCTATTGTCGCCAGTATTTATTCGTACTTATTTAACTGCCTCGAAGGTTTCACTACACTTCTGAGGCACGCTCCAGGCAAGATCCAAATGTGTACACATTCGGTGATCCTAAGTTCATGTCCTGGTTTGGGTCAAGTTTAGTTATTGAGTCTTTCTGTTTGGAAAGTACTAGCAACAAGCCCGGAGTTGGAAAGGTAGCAACTGGCAGTGATTCAACCTCGGAGAGCACGTAAAGCCGTCGGTCATACGTCAAAACCTGCATATCTGACCGGTCATATCAAATTATCGTCACATCGAAATTCAAGAGTGAACAGAAGTATTATAGTGCAAAGTACACTGGTGCACAGTTGGCTAGTCTTAGTGATATTCGTCACCGTGGCTGACATCAATCAGGAAAACATTATAATTTATTATTATCATAGATATTGTGTTTAAACATTGCGTTTCATATTGAATTTCATCCTTAATTAGACGATACCATATTCCTAATTTTCTGGGTAAATTGGGCTGAGATTTTGTATGATAATTACAAGAGCCTTGCACGGGTGGGACATATTCAATTATCTTACAAAGCTTATAATTATTTCATTAAAAATAATTAGGTGACATATAATTGAACACTTGCGTTAAATTCAAAAACAATTTGAAGCATTTCCACTGATTTTCTTTTACTGATGCTAAGTTTTTTGTATATAGTTAACGAAAATCTGAATTATTCAATTTTGATAATGGCAAAGAAAGAAAATATATTTGATCACGTATATAGGATTAAACCCGTCCTGCGTCTCCGCTATCTCACTTAGATGATATTTAAAACATTCATTAATTTTACTACGTGTATTTTTTACTGTCGACATCTATGTTATACTTTATTACTGTGCTTTAAAACTTTTTAAAAGAAAATTCATTAAATTCTTTAATATTAATAAATACTTGAAATTACTCGTAGTCAAATCGCACATTATTCAATTTGGTTATTGAGAATTTCTTGATAGATCTATAACTAAACTTGGTCAAACCTGAGACACGAACCCAAGACTTCCGGATCTACATTCGTACATGCTAGCCACTAGACCATCGAGCCAGTGAAGCTAATGAAAAAGTACTAAAAATGTTGGGCCATGTATAAATAAATATAAATATGTTGTGACATTAACACACATCACCATCTGATTCCATGGTAAGCTTCCAGGCTTGTGTTATGGATAACAGTTACTTGATACACTACACAGGTATAACTTTAAACACATACATATTAAAAATATAAAAACCCATGATTTTAGTACAAACATTCATGCTCAGCATATAAATGAATGCCACCAGCGGGGCTCGAACCCGCGACCGCTGGCACAGCAAGTACGGGTCACTACGAACTGAGCCAAATGTGTCGACA